TCTTTTTCAAATACTCAAGACTCTTGTAATTTTCAGAAATCAAATTTGTGTAATCTTGTAATCTCAGCAAGGCTAATGTCAGCAAAACTGATGTCTATTTCTATTTAGTTTAATAAGCAGATAAAAGTGATCTCAATAATCCACAAGTAATATTTGAATTAAAAGTACGATTCATATATCATCAAAATTATTTTTGATCTAAGTAGTTTCCCTTTATTCTAAGTTTTTCATCGATATTAGTTTTTCTTTTTTTGTCAAAACACCGTTGTTTTAACCAAAAAGTGTAAAAGAATCCCAAGCAAACATAAATATTCAAACCCGGATCCGACTCAAATTGTAAAATGATCGAACTGAGATATAAGAGAAATATTTTTCACGTGATTCCAAAATATAAACCTCCGCAGAAATGTCACTAAATAAACCAGTTCATTATAAAACGACTAAAATATTTGTCACGTGATTCCAAAATATAAACCATGTCAAAGAAAAGATTGACTGTTCACTTGCACTTGTTAACTTGACACTGCACGTGGAATCAAGTACCAGAGAGATCATTTCTTATTCTTGGATGTCCCACCGCCACGCTTCTTGGATATTTAATCACGTGATTGACTCCCGAAAATGAAGAAGTATGTTAGTGAGCTCGATGCCGATAAAGGCGTTAACTTTTTGAAGAGATCTGGATGGTCAAACTTATCACAAGCCTTGATAGATACTTTCAAAATCTTTACACTCTTTTTGAAGAAAGCGGTCGAGCATGGGCTTACCCCAGCTGAGATTGGGTTGATCGCGAAGAGCAACGGTAAGAAGGTTCCCAAAGTAAGTCTTCAAGACATGGTTAACAACTCTGATCAGAAACATAGTGGTGAAGTATTTGTCAAAAGTAAACATGAGAAGATAGTTGAAGGTCTCAACATGTATCTGCAGAAAGTTCCTCGTCGTCATGTCGGTTGAGATAAGTTAATAGAAACCACCAGTATACATGCATAAGAATCCACCACCACCTCTATTGTAGATCTTATTTCTGAATCGAATTCGAACTACAAATTTACTCAAAAATTCAAAATCGTAAACATATCAAACACAATTCAAATCTACTTTAACCAAGACAAAAACTCTAAATGAAGCAAACTGTATTAGATCTACTATAACCAAGAGACAAATTCTAAACGAAGTTAATGAACAAACGTTGCACAAATTGGATCAATATGTTAATATGGCATGGCAATATCTTCCAATGTTCTCGCAAAATCAAACATTTTCAAACCAAAACGACGTCGCATAGGCCAGTGTGTTAAAATGACATGGCGACATCTTCCTATGTCATATCAAAACGTTTTCTATCAATTGATTCAATTTGTGAGAAATATACTGTTTTTTTCCTACGGCGCAAGAGAAAGGGACATGTAAATTGGAAATGTCCAATTGATATAACGTTCAATGAGAAAAAGCATTATCTCTGTTTGATTGGTTTACTAATAGACTACAAGGATTGAAATATTTGGGCAATTGATAGAATTTGCAATTGAAATATTTTGGAAATTGATAAGAAAAAAATCAGTATATTTTTCACAAATTGAAATATTTTGCATTTTGGCAATTGGTTGAAAACAAAAAGTATAGTCTCGTCGAATTTTATATTTTCGTTTCTTAGTTTATTCACTCGGATTGTGAATTTGGCTCCTGATTCTGCCTAGGACTATCCAAG